CCCCAAAGTGCCATCGTCATCAGTTGGTGACGCGATTTCAATTTTCCGCGTAATCCCGTGTTTGCTAATACGCGTTTCACTTTTCTTCGTGGAAACGCCGTTGTTATGGCCGAATGTTTTCACGAATAACAAGAATGTTACGTAGCCTGTTCTCGAAATTTATTGTTCGATCGAAACTCATGCGTACCCCTTGCAAATCGATCGAGGGCCGACGTATGGCTCGAGTATAAACGAGTGGTACGCTCGAAACAATTTCTGGTAACTTATAACGTCTTCCATAGGTGTAAACTCGACGTGTGCAAATTGCATTTGCATTCGGGAATGGTCAAGTGTAAAGCAAAGCGGCAAATAATTGTACGCGAAGACCAATATGCCGGGACTTGCTCGAGTTAATTGAGATTGGAATTCAATGTGTTGACTTATCGATTGGCTCGGTATTCTTAGAACTTTGTAAACACCGTCTATGACTAAGAAACTGAATTTATTGCATGTAAGAAGAATATAAACTGTTTTAACGAATTATTAAATCAAATAAATTAAACCTACAATAATAACCATTGGAAGCCCATTTTTAAATTTTTAATTAAATATTCTGCGTTTAATGTAATCACTTTCGTCATTTGACACGACGATGTGTATAATAATATTTATGTATTCAATTTTTCGTATCTCTTTTCTTATTTCGTCTTTTCCTTTTTTCTTTTCCGAGGTTCTTATTATACTTTACCTACCTCGGAGAGTCATTGAATGACCGTGGTGAATTCAGTGTCAATCTTTGAGTATAAATGTAACAGAATATAGTCGGTATTTCAATTTTTATCACTTTGCTTAATTTTTCGATAATCTTTTATTAGAAAATCGCGATTAATCTCTGTAATTGTAGCTCGACTCGCAACTCTCCTGATAATATACCTATAATCAATTTTTCTATATCTATTCCTCTCCTTATTCCATTTCTCCTGAGATTCACATGTGATATAGTTCATCCACCATGTCGAATCATCGATTGATCGGATTATTAATCGTAACAGATTTAATAAATAAATTGGCAGAAACATTGACGTTTTATCAGTCTTGTAACTAGTAACTTTTCGACTAGAGAAAATGCTGACATCTTTATTCCATATTGACTTGCAGGTCCTTTTCAGAGGCTTTTAAAGTATCGATAAAGGAACTGAACTGTGTCAATTAAATACAGTAGATACTAAATTAACCTCTTGGAATTGATTTTGATATCTAGACCCTTGATAAATATTACTATTCAATAGATCTCATCGAATACCATCGGTATTACTACGTATTAGCAATTCTTCCACCAATTTTCCTCGACTTTTTTTTTACATTTGACAGTCAGTTTATAATAATAATAAGTAAAGCTTCGAATGTTCATTGAACATCGATAGAATAGCTCTTACCTTGCCACAGAAGTAATATTCTGGAGGTTCTTTGTCGACTAACGCCAACACCGCTTCACTCTCAGCCAGAGGACTTCCGGGCTGACTGTTCCCTATCCTGGATCCTTTTTCTTGGTAATAAGTTTTGTGGAAGACCCTCACCGTGGGCATTGGCAACGCCGTGATCATCTTTAATGGAACAGACGCAAAAGCAAAATTCGTTATACTCGATAATTAATTAATCAAAAATCCGATGAACGCGATATCAATTCCTGTTTGAAACGACACTTTGTCACGATGAAAGTAATGACAAAAAGGAGAAAGGGAAAAACGAAAGAAATACAGTTGTGTTGCAAACGAGGCAAAACCAATCAATCAGTAATGAACCATTTTAAGCGGTGCACGATACACTTTTAATTGCACGAGCAAACTTTTGCAATTTAAACTTCTTTCCACGAGGACGTGGTTGTAATGGAAACATTGGACTACCAGAGTGATAATTCGCAAATAATTTTCACGAAACGTCGCTCCATTCGTGGGTTTCTTTAGTATCTCAGAGTAGTCTGCTCGTGACTACGTTATAGTTAGGCTTTTAGAATATTCGTGGACAACTTTCGGAGTGGTTCGTCACGATGTATTGGTATTTCTTTGAATCGCGTAGGGTGAAGTATGGTAGCGTAATGTGCAGGGTGAAGTGGAAGCACAATTTCTTTTTTAACGCTGCAACTTAGTGGGGTTTAGCATTATATAGCGAAGCTTTGGTTAAGCTTATCGTATAGTAATACATTCTCATGTAAATTTGAATTTAAAGCGTTGTATATAATTCCAGCTTTTTGCTTGAAATCGTTTCCAAGATACATTTATTTTCGCATAAATTTGAATGAGGAATAAGGTAATGGGTAAATCGTTTAATTTAAAAGTTGTAGAAATGGTTGAAAGGGTAGGGAGAATAGGAATAGAAATTTTATCTTTAGAACCTGTCTATAGAACCTGCAGATTCAAAATATCTTTATAATTATACAACGTCACGTTCGAAATTTATAAAATTCGTAGACAGTAAATAAATTTTTCAACCTTACCCTTTGTAAATTACAAACATTAAACTCACATATTTGTTATCACACCCAGTAAAAAATATATATAAATAGAATATAATATAAATACACCTACAAAAAAGGAAGAAATATCAGTAACCCAAAGCCACCCCCTTAAAACAAATTTCCGTTTAAAAGCATGAGCTCTGATATAATGCATTGATCACTGTCAATAGTTGTCAATTACAACTTACTCTTACTATATCATTGCAACTACAAATTTTCAAAAATAAAGCCTACTGTATAATATTATACTACATAATAGTTGGATAATAAGTTTTATATTCCATAATATTATATAATACGTATACTGTATAATATTTATATAGTTATATAGTTATTATATAACGTACTGTACACTGCTGTATAATATAATATTATATAATGTTTCTAATATAATACTTCTATAATATCATAATATTTACTATATAATATAATATTATAAAGTATATATTACACGGTAACGCTATACCATAATACTGTACACTACAATTTACAGTACCGTTAAGCTTTTCGCGAGAAAGGATTTAATTAGCTGAAAATAAGAACGAAAAAGGTAGAATGGAAGCATAATTTGGGTATCTTGACAAGTTAGAACACGTGAGATATACTTTCGCGACACCGAGTACATAAAGAGGAGGATCGAAGGTACTTGGAGTGAAATCGCGTATCAATATCGAGCGATCCCTCGTCCCTTGAGTTATCGCCTCGAGCTGGTGTCCTCGCAGAACTTTCCCGGCCTTATTCCACGTTTCTCGAGCTACATCCAGCGACTGTTCGGAGCGAGTGGCGGCTATCCGGGAAAACAAGGGAAACCCCCAAGTTGCCACGGCTCGACGATAAAACGGCAATAACGCCACCCTCCCTTGCCGTTCTTCGATCTCAAAGATAGGTTGCAGCCTGTCCTTGGCTTTAATTTCCCGATCGCTGCGGTCATCCCTTTTTCTACCGCGTTTGCACGACAAAGAAGCCGAGCGTGTCGCGTTTCCACTGCGCGACGACGAGCTATTGTTCGCTCAACATGTGGCAATCCCTTGTCCTTCCACGATACACACCAAGGAAACTCGAGATCTCCAGATTTTATATTCCCCACCTTCTTCTTCCTCTTCTTCCTCTACTTCTTCTTTCACAGCTTTCTTTTTTACGTCTCTTTCCACTGCGATCGATGACGAGGGCGCTGGTGTGTGCGAGAAGGGCCGATGTTAAATGGAAACTTGTGTCTCCAGTGCGACTAATGATCGTGTCCTTGGCACAGCTTTCAACGTCTTCCTATGGAAACTTTGCTTAGTTCCTTTTTATCATGTACCTGGCGCTGATTGATACAGGGAAATTGGATTTGCCCAAGTTCTGCCGGATCTCGTTGCAGCTCTCCTCCATTTTGCTGCGTTGCATGGGATGCGTGAAGGGGTGACTGAGGTCATTTATTGCTCGGTGCATCCAGTGATCGTTGTACGATGATTAGTTCTTGGGAGAAATAGAAATTTTGAGACAGCTTTGCTGTTTGTATCTCCGATTTTCGGATATTTCTGTTTTGGGGTAAGGTTGAATATTAAATTGATTTTAGCAGGTTTATTATGTATGATTTTCTTGGTGGATGAAGATAGAAATTTGGGGAATGTTTTATCGTTTGCATGTATATAGAATTCGTTTCAGTTTCTGAGATATTCGTTTCTTAACGCGAGGTTGAATATCGTATCGATATTATTTTTTGATAACGCTATTTTAAAATTCGATATGGCTTGCGAGTAGAAAGTTTTGGGGATATAGTGTTTAGCGTGAGATTGAATGTCATAGTCTGATATTTGTTAACATTTTTGACATTATGTTAAAATGTTATATGTTGTCTAAAATAAAATTCGTGTAGTAGAACTTAGAAGTTCGTTGCAGGGTATACTTGAGAAATTTGGAATAGGGTCAGTGTTGCAACGAAAAACAATTCATGCAACGGTAATTTTATAAAACTCATGTAACTTTGGCCCCGTAATATTTATCAAAGTGCATACGTTTGATAAAAAATAGTAGTGACCTTTCACATCGATTAACTGCGACGACATAGTCAAGTTGCTGCCAGCGATAATCGTAAGCGTATTTACAACGTTACACGTGATAATTCAAATTTTTCTACAGTTCATAAACACCTTTGATATCTCGATATGTATGAAATTTCATTAATTTTCTTAAATCACGATCTTAATTCCTTTAAATCGTATTAGATGTTACTGAAAATCTCAATTAACAAAAGCATATTTTTTAATTTATATGCGAAGTATTTCTGCAGTCTTTGTATTAAATTTACTCGCGTAATTTCTGCAAAATTATGGTTTCTTAATTAATTTAAACTGTTTGAAACTATCTAAAATATTTTTTGAACCTTGGTGTTAACTGACATCGTTGACATCGTTGACTTGTGCATTTCCCATATGAAAGTGTACAGCAACGTGTCAGAGACGTCATTTAGAAGGGTTAATTCGAACATCTGAAATACAAATATTCTATAAAACGGAAACTTTACAATCACCACTGGAAAAAATAGAATTATTCGAAACTGTCCCCATTAAAATCCTACGACTTTCACTCCAATTATACGAATAATTTCGAGTCCTCGACTTAAACGAATCACCACGCATCTAATTTCATCCAATAACACACAAATATCGCAATTATCTCTCTTAACCTTGAATATTAATCCATACTCCTCAAACAAAAAATTCCATAATCTTTGTTTCGGTACATTTCATCATCCAATCACCAATTCGCAAATCAAATCAAGTTAAACGAATAACCCTGAATCTAATACTACCCTAATATAGAAATATAACAATCATCTCTCTCGGAACCTTCAACGTTTAATCCACTTTTCTCTCCATCACTCTCCACTCTCCCCTCTCTCTCTCTCTCTCTCTCTCTCTCAAAAAGGAAAAAAAAAATAGAAAAAGGCGATTCCCTAATTCAATGACACATGTGTACACATGTATGACGAGTAGCAACAACAACAATGTTGTAGTATTAATATACGATGTCTCGCGATGGTTGTAGCAGTAGCAATGATATTGATGGTGGTGGCAGTGGTGGTGGTGGTGGTGGTGTGGTGGTGGTGGAAATGCTGGTGCCGGTGGCCTAGATACGTTCTTGGGGCCGACGGCCGTTGCACCTCGGTTATCGAACAGCAGAGCTTGCACCGGGTGCAGCTGCACGGCTAGAAAACTATTGCAGACCCGTTTTTGGCGTCCTCCTTGATTTCCTTTTCGAATCGACCGGTTGCGTTGAAATTAGCACGGCCGAGAGAGCCTTCCGACTTCTAAACAACGAGGTGTCGTCTTCGTCGATGATTTAACTGATCCAGTTTCGCTGGATCGATATCACAGCCGGGATGCGTTTTTAAGGTCATCGTTGAAGGGATTCGTTCGATCGGAATTTCTTCGTTCTTGCCAAGCTCCTTAAATGTGGAGGTACCGATGCAAGATGGCTGACTTTCCATCTTCCATTTTTCTCCTTACTTTTGTACGCGTGTAGCTATTCTTCGTGGCATCGAAATTAATTTTACGTGTACTTGTTTACTTTTATTTATTAGCATTAGCAATTTGACTAAGCACTCTTGTCACGTGTGTTTGGTATTTTTATTTGTAGATTGGAAATTTGTGGTTGCAGTTGTTTGGACATGTTGAGGTTTGCTTGATGTTTTGCAAATCTTTTTTGATACTGGGTGAGTTTCATGAAGAGAGAATCGAGAATCAGGACTGAAGTTGGGTGAGAGAAATGGATAATGTAATTGGTACTAAATTATCGTTTTATGTAACAATTATTGGTATTTTGTTTGATATAAAGATTTAGGGAATTTTGAAGTAGTGTGTAGAGTATAATGACTCTAATCTTAAACAATGTATGTCAGTGATCATGGAAATACTTAATTCTTTCAATAAAATAAATTGATAAGAATATCTCTTCGATTCTTTTACTCCTAACATCGTCAAACATGTTCGTCATTATTTAATTACAAATATTAGATTAGCTAATAAGTTTCTATGGCTTTTGACACCTAAATACTAACACATCCTATTTAAAATGAAATATGAGAATCTTTATTCAATTATATAT